GACCGATGCACCCGATTCTCGATCCGGATCGCCGATTCGCAGATCCGGATCGGTTTTTTGGAAGCCCGATCCGGGTCACCGATCCGTTTTTTAAACCATTGGGTCAAAGTGTATGTAGCCCCTGCTATTGGATAATCAATAAGAGCATTTTCTTCAATAAAACAATTGAATAAACACATCGAAGGTGAAATAGAACCCCCAGCAAGACTTTCTTCCGACCATCTTGTAAAATTAAAATCCCCCTAATACAAATAGGAAATTGAAACTGTGCAATAACCTCCGACATATAAAAAACAAAACAAACTTTTTGAGCCGAAGTTTGTGGTCCATAAACATTCATAAGCCGCCATTGGAAATCAGCTTGAGAACCCACAAAGCCAACAAGTAAGAAAAAGTCTTTTTTAACAACTGAAAAGGAAAGAAAAATAGATGGGTCTCATAAAATCCAAACCCCCATTAGAAATTAGCTTGAGGACCTACAAAGCCAACAAGTAAGAAAAAGTTTTTTTTAACAACTGAAAAGGAAAGAAAAATAGATGGGTATCATACAATCCAAATCCCCCCCGATTGTCCTACTGCATCAATACCCACAAAGTCTACTGCTCTATGACCCAACACCTCCCTAACCCAGACAAAGTAGGGTTAGGGAGTTTGGTTTCTTGCAAAATTAAAGCAGTAGGTCTATATTTACCTGCAAGAAGCAAAACATCTTTTTTTCTTTTGGGATCACTAAGACCCCTCACGTTCCAAGACAACACTAACATAAGAAATTAAGGGTGAGAAGAACTTGAGCCATCATCCTTTGGCCCAAAATAGAATTCTTCAAGTAGTAGTGCCTCCTTCACAGCTTTCCCATCACTTTCCTCTGATGACGATGAAGAAGAAGAAGACTCGACCTCATTAACTTCCACATCTCTGGTCACCACACCACCTGCATTAGCCTGATTTCCACGCACAATTAGTCTCGCAGACAATCGCGTGCCCTTCACATGGCTTTTACCCCTCTTCTTCTTATATGCTACGTCCTTCTATGCTATTTGTTGCCATGTGAAATAATCCTATTTGGAGTATTTTGTTGATCTACAATATTAAAATATGCTTTAGATTCACCATCAATAATAGGATTTGAGCTCTTGAATATCTAGAATTAAATTTACCCATAAAAAATAAGGTTATATATTCGATTGTGGAGTTATTTTTTAAGCACATTGGAGCTTAGTATTAGACCAACTAGTTAGGTCCTCAATCGACATTTTAGTCAGTCTAGTCCAAAACAAAAAAATCAAGTTTAGTTGAAAACTAGTCAAAATCAATATTTGAACAATCCTATTAATTATGCAAAGTTGGTATTTTTAAAAACATATTTTATATTTTTTAAACAACTATTGTTATATGGACATGGTTTCTATGAGTCCATGTAGAAATGAGTCATCTCTTAAAAATCTACTTTTGGACTAAATTTTTAAGGACATATAATTTCTGACATGGAGATCATGAATATGAAAATATAAATGAATTTTAAAAATTAGAAATAATGATTTCATTAATAAAATATTTGGACCATTAGTTTCAATTGTGTTTAGATGGACCACCTATTTGCATCCACCTTTAAGATGGGTGCTTTATACTTTAGGACCGCATATTGTAGAAATACAGTCCAGCTTGCATGAAACAATTTTCTTTCTTATATTTCCCTTTTTTTCTTAAAAAATTAAAGTCCACCAGTGATCAATGTTTGCCTATTCAACTTTCTAGTTTTTTTGAAAGATTGGGTAGTAGTTTGAGTTAGTCACATACCGGAAATTTAGTCCAAAAAAGTGCCCAAGCTGGGGCAATTGCACACAAGCTGGGGCATTTGCACGAGTGGTATTTACAAGAACGTGAAAAACGATCCTCCGAAGTACCGTTTTGGCTGAATTGAAGAAACAACATGATAATTGTTTCTTTTGCCAACCCCCACGCCATTCAGTGGTAACGGGTCGGGTCGACCACACCTGGACCTAGACTCGAACTAACCCAATCGAACCCAATACATATATATATATATATATAGTTAAATGTTATGTTATATATATGGGTTATATTAAGGTGCGCATACTATATAATTATTTATCATTTTACTTAACAAAATTTGGACACTTATATACATAGAGTGTTTTTTAGTAATGGTATGTTTTATCGTTATGTGGGAATGACATTATCTATATGAGTTGTAACATCACCCATACAGAGCATTAAAGGCCACTACTAATGTGCTCTATGTGGGTGATGTCACCTTTTGTGGATGATGCCAAATCCCTTTTAATGACAAAAAATGCCCTTATTAAAAAATACTCCATGTACAAAAATAAAGATATATGAGTCTCCAAAATTTGCCGAGTACAATGACAAATTATTTGTGAGCGCCCTAACATAACCTTATGTATATATTATTTATATATTATAACTAAAAATATAAAATTTATATTTATTTAAATATTAATTAAATATTTTTAAAATATTATATAATAACAGTTAGATCTAGATCCAATATTTGGACCCAAATCCAACCCGCCAAGTCCAATTCTTGAAGCCATACCTGGAACCAGGTCGGGTGCAATATTTGGACCCAGACCTGACGTACAGAATTGGACCATGCTTGGCACAAATCGGTGTGGCATTGGGTCCCAAAGTCGGGTCGGGTCCAGGTCCATGGCCACCTCTCGGCCATGCCATGTGGGTGTCGTGAAAATGAATAATAATATAATACAAAAATTTGACAACCATCATCTATCTTGTTGCCGACTTGGCCCCCTCCCACTCAACTAGCGCTAATCGACAACGACCTAAATTTCATTGAAAGAAAGTAGAAGTGAACTAAAGTCGTTCAAACTCAAAAACAATAAGAAAAAAAAATAAGAAAAAAAAAACATGGCTGTTAGAGAAAGAGGGAGATATGGAGATTATGGAAAGTGGAAACGAACAAAACGTGGGGAAAAGCGCACTTTTCACGTGCCTTTCGCGTCTCCGCGCAAAAAACGCTGCGTCCCCTTGCTTTTCACCTGCTACGAATCAATCATATATAAACAAAGAGGGAGGAAACTTGGATTACATTACTGCTCTCTCTCTCTCTCTCTCTCTTGAAACCATTCATTCACCTCCACTCTTCTCATACTTTGCGGCCTCATTGTGGTGAGGACCACAGAGAAATGGGAAGTAAATACAGCGATATTGCTTTGGATTTGGACATTTCTTCTCCCTTATCTGTTCTCTTTCAGCCACTGCCCGGTTTAACGTTATCGCCATCATCATTCAGGTACAGTTTTTGCTATTTTTCTTTTCATAATTCTCCCTTCATTTTCAATATAGCATGCACCAAACATGTTACATGGTAATGAATTTGTGGAACTGTAAAATTTGCCTTTCTGTGAAACTTAAGAGGTACAGAAGTCATTATTCACCTCAGTTTCTCTTACAATTTTTTCCTTAAATTGTAATTTAAAGGACTCGAGAGGAGGCCAGAAACACAACAACACAGCAGGAGCAGCTTACGATATTCTACAACGGAAGAGTCAGTGTTTCCCATGTCACTCAAGGCCAGGCAAGTGCAATTCTAGGTCTCGCTACTGAAGAAGATGTCGACACCACTCTTCGGATCTCTCCTATCGACGGCAACAACAATAACACCATTGTCGAATCGTCCTCAGATCAGAGCAGTGACAGCAGCATTCCTCCTTTTCTTCTTTGCCAACAACCTCACATGGGCTTCTCGGCAGCAGCGGCAACTGGTATGAAACACTCGTTGCAACGGTTCCTCCAGAAAAGAAAGAGGCTCCACAAAAATTCGCCTTACCGCCGCTAGTCGCCTCACCGGTTTTCTTTGCCGTTCGTTACTGGTGCACTATTCAAAACTCATCTCATAGAGAGGAACCATTTTACGGCAAGTGCGAAGATTGATGGAAGGAAAATGCCAACGTTGAAAAGATCGACTTGGACAAGGTACTAGACTTTAGCTGATCAACTCGACAAGGCACTCCGACTTTTGATTGAAGCGAGTTATTCGACCGAGTCAAACCATTCGATCTCTCCATATTCTTTAAATGGGAAGTACCACATTTATTATTATTATTTTTCCCCTTGTACTCAACCAAACGTGTCATTCCATTGCATTTGGGGCACTGCGCCGCGATCGGTTGAATTTTACATAAACCACAATGTAATTTGATGCTGTGACCATTGAAATTCAAGTTAACAATGATTAGAAAAAACAATGTAATTTCATATATATACTAGATCATGTAAGAATAACAATGAGAAGACGTTGTTTAATGGTCACATGTTCAAACTTGATTCTTAAATAATGACATTATGTTTACTCCAATTGCATGAACATCAGTCTGAGCTTGATCGAAATATATTTCATATAACCATCGCGAATAGTTGTTGTGCAGCATTTAACCAAGGTGAAAGTTAAAAAAAGAGTGAGACGAACATGAAAAATGGGTTTGAATGGTCTAGAGTGATTTACTTACCTAACTTAAAATTTTACGTAAAATATAAAATAGAGCATTTCGTATTTTACGGACTTTCATTTTGTATTTTACCGATTTGTTTTTGTAATTTCGGCATATAATTGGAGTATTTCATATTTTACCTAAAATTTTAAAGACCATACGTCAAAAAACATTTGTTCAAAAAAAGTGACGTGCAAAACACATTGCAAAGTGAGCGGTTGGCGCCCTCCCGTGATCATGGACACGGGTTGAATAAGTAGGTTAACGTGGCAAACAATCAACCAAAGATGGCAAAACACTATATATATATATATATATTTTAAAGATTTTTCTTTCCCAGGACAATTTTTTTTTGTCTTTAGTGTCGACTTGGCCTGTAATTGTTGAAGAATATCATGGGATCGTATGCAATGAGACCATTTATTGATACAATGTGGAAACAATTACTTACAACCATTAAATTTGATGGCTTGGATGTGTGACAAAATTTGAATTTTTATTTTTAAAGTTTGAACATGGTCAATGGAATGATTGCAACCACCTAATTTTTAAGATTAATGTAACCATCCTGAACCAAAGGTAAATAGTCTCATTATATACTTCCCATATCCTAAACTACAAACTTGAAATTTCGTAATGAAAATGGTTTGATGGGGCTGCAGCCCCATCAAAATAAGTAAAATCTCATCTCATAACTCATCAAAAACAGCAATTTAAGTATTGAAAAACTTTTAAATCAATTATATCAGCTTGAACATTATGGTTGAGGAAAGAAATTTTCATTCCCATAGACCCCAAATAAAAAAGAAAAATAAACACATAGAGAGATGTTTAACAAGAATCCGATGAAGTTGATAGTCTTGTGGAAAGAGAGAGATGTAGACGACAAATTTGGAGCACCCCTTTTAATAAGAACCCCAAAACCAGAACCAAACACCAGGTTATACGACTTTTGTGGCAAAAGCTTGCCTTACAGGACAGGCTCACAAAATTAAAAAGAAATCATAACTGCATGCGTCTCTCCGTTTGATACAGACCGTTCATGTTTATCCTAAGAAACCGAAGTATTCAACTTTTTTTTTTAACGAAATTTCACCATGAGAAGCCCCGATATTAAAAGAAAATAAATTCACCAAAATTTTAGTGAAAATTTCGGTGACCTATTGAATATCTCTAACGACATAATAAAGATGTCATTTATCTAAGTTTTTTGTTTGTGCTTTCTCTATCTATAACTATATACATCTTTTCTAATTGCAATATCACTCTATGAGCTTTTATCTCTCTCTAAATTTATCTTTTCTATCTCTAACCATGCTTTATGGTCTTATTTAGATCTTTTTAAGTGAAAAAAACTCTAAAGAGTAAATTAATAGGTATGAAAACCAATAGAGATAGTCCTAGATCCCTTAAAATAACTTGTGGCTACCCTACATCAATGAATTAGTCATCCAGCAGTACATACCTAATCTATCCAATATAATTTTTACTAAAAATGTAGGTTTTTAAATCTATTTTAAGTAAATTAGTGCTTAGGACAATGCGACTTGTCATTTTTGTGGCGGCACTATGTCGCACTACCCACTTAATTTGTGTGAAAACCTTTTTAAAGTAGTAGTAATCTCAAGTAAACTATTCTTGTACAACTATGTTGTACAGCTGCCCCTTCAGCTTTTATGAAATTTATTCTAAAGAAATTCAAGTGAATGTAAAGTTTATACAAATTGGACATATTGTGTCATTATAGAGTTAGCTGAGAAGTTGTAAATTGGAAGTTCATTATTATGGTATTGTTAGACTATATTGTCGTTTTATTTTTATTAAATTTTATAGCTGTATAATCTGTTTTTTTTTGTATTGGCATTGTGTTGTGCTACGTACTCAGCTTATGTGAATCTTATCATAAAGAAGTCAAAATAAAGGAAGAATTTATTTGAACGGTATACATTGTTTCATCATGGATTTTAAAGTAGCGTATGTATTACACATAAACGCAGGGACTTTATGCTTTAATTGTGCAGTAGAAGAAAAATAGAAGTTTTTTATTGTGATCTTGCGTGACTATATTGTAGGTTTTTGTGTAATTAATGTTATGTTTTTTTAGCCAATTATATTTATTAATCAACTTTAAAGCTATTAGTTATGGTATAATTTATAAATACATATGATACATTGTATATTTATAGGTTATGTATACTTATAATTAATAACTCAATAATTTAAATAATTTTGTTATAAATCTATATGAGTGTAAAATATATTAAAAATATATAAATTAATCACCTTATACAATTATAATTTACAATACAATAATTTTTATACTGAATTATACATTCTATTGTTTTAAAGAAATTTTATTATATAATAAATATAAATTATAAAATTAATTAAAATCAATTGACTACATATAGACCTCATAAATGAAAATGATAGTTGAATTACAACTTAACCTATTGATTATCCTTGGAGACCATCTTTTTTTTTCATCAAAGTTCGACTTATCCACAAGACGTCATTGATTATTGAACACGAGATCGCCAACTCCATTTGGATGCCCACTAAAGATTGGTGGCATGTTTTTCAATAATATTAAGTAAACTACTGCTTAGAATAGTGCAATGTATCATTTTTGTGATGGCACTATGTTGTGCTACCCACTAAACACGTGCGAAATTTATTTTAGAAAAGTTAATCATCATCATCATCATAGTCTTTTCCCAATTAATTGAGGTCGACTATACGAATCTTATTCCGCCATTATATTTTATTAAAGGTCATACCCTCAGTGAGGCTATAAGTCCCCATATCCTTTTGGACTACTCCAACTACGTCCTTTTGGGTCTACCCCTTGCCATTTGCAGTCTTTCCACTTGAATTAACTCACACCTCCTAATAGGTGTTGTACTTGGTCAGCGCTACACATGGCCATTGCCCCTAAGTCTACTCTCTCTCTTCTTATAACCTATTGGTGTCACACCTAAATTCTCTAAAATGGATTCATTTTGAATTATATTCCTTCTTATCTTGCCACTCATCCATCTCACCATCCTCATCCCCACTACATTCATTCTATGGGCATATTCTTTTTTGTCCTTCCAACATTCTGCCCCATAGAGCAAAGTTGGTCTATTTGAATAAAGTAAATATGAAAGTAAAATTTATTTAAATTGGTTATATTGTTTCGTTATGGAGTTTAAATTGTCATGTGTGTTGCATGATCTAGAAGTTGAAAAATAAAGTAGTTCTTTATAGTGGTTTTGCTAGACTAAATTCTAGGTTTGACTTTAATTAATTTTATAGTAGTACAATGCGTCATTTATATAGTTGTACTATGTTGTGTCATCCACGCTATTTGTGCGAATTTTATTTTATAAAATATAACTAGAATATTAAATTTATTTAGGGAAACATGACCCCAATTTTATAATTCGAGAAATATTTTTTAAATTAATTAAAATCAATTAAACCCCATAAATAAAAACAATGGTTGAACTACAACTTGACCTATTGATTCTCCTCGGAGTATATCTTTTTATTCCTTGAAGTTCGATTCATCCACAAAATCTCGTTTAGTATTGAACACGCGATCAACAACTCCATTTGGATACCCGTCAAAGATTGATGGTACGTATTTTTATTAATTCTAAGTAAACTACTGCTCCTATTTTAAACAAAATATTATGCATTTATTTTCTTATTAAAATACTTATAAATTGAATTTTTACTTTGTCTATTAATTAAATATATTATTCAAATATAAATTTATTATATAATTATAAATTTATTGAGTTTAAATTAATTTTTTGAAAATTTGACCCTTTTCTTGAATTTATGCTTATAAAAAGAAATTATTTTTTATATGAATTGGAAAATTGTTTAGTGCGTCCCAGCTCGCACCTGTTGCTATGCGAGCTTGGAGCTCTACACCATCCACCAAAATGGGGTCTTATAAATAACGGTCCTCCAAAGAAAAAGTAAAATCATCGATTCAAATAGTTTATCTCAAAACTATCATTTCTAGTTTTTAAAATTTATTTATTTTTTCAGAGTAATAATCTTCATTTTAAAGATTATATATTCTCTAAAAATTAGGATCAAATTCCATTTCAAAAATAATTTATTAAGGGGCCCATATATCTACATGTGAGTCCATGGACTTGTCGAAACTGTGCCCGTATGAATTAAATTTCCAAAAAATGCGTTTCATATAAAAATCAAATTTTATTGTGCTCTTTTTAATAATTTATAATACTTATAAACTGTACTCCATTAAAAATGGCAAAGGGCTATAATATCTCTAGTAAAAACATATTGGTTATTTTGGACGAAGTAAAAAATAATTATTTGGAGTGTAGGATTTTAGCTTGCAATGTTAGCATTGATGGCTCAAACATCTTGGGTTAAAATATTGTTTCATTGTGGTCCCTTTGGAGCACATTGTGTTTATGATCGCTCATGAAGAAGTTGTAATAGCATATATGGATTTAGAAGAAATTTATAGTATGTATGAATTATAAATATTTGAAAATTAAAATGTTAAAAATTGTTTTGAAAAATAAACTGTGATTTTTAATTGAGGGATTATATAACATTTGAAGGAACATGCAATAAAGCGACATTTTTGCCATGGGTTTGGTGACACATTGTGAGGATGTACAAAAGAAATCGTTTTTAATAATGAATCAATTTGTTAATAACAATAGACTGTAAAATTAAATAAAATACTTTATACTTATAT